GGAGGATGTAAAAGTCTTTACATATCTGGTCAGCATCATTGATGAGCAAGGCGGATCTGATACAGATGTGAAGGCTTGGATAGCAAAGCAAGGGCAGCATTTCTGCAATTGAACAACAACTGGAACTCGAATAAACTGTCAACAAACACCAGTCACAATTTTCAATAAAAATATCAAGACAGTTCTGCTGTATGAAGCGGAAACTTGGGAAGCCACGGCGCCAATGATCCGGACGAACAAGTGTTGATTAACAGTTGTGCACCCAAGATATTGAGAATCCGTAGCTCAGACACCATCAGTAGGAACCTACTTTAAGAGAGACCGATCCACATACCAGCTGAAGAAATTTTGAAAAAAACGGGGTTGGATAGGATACACATTGAGGAAAGCAGTCAACTGTGTCACACAAGACAAGACCTCACTTTGGTTCCTCAAGACCGAATAACACATTATGCTGAGAATAAGAGACGGGCATGAATAGGGTGAACAGCAATTGGATAGAAGTGGAAAAGGAGGCTCAGGACAGAGTATGGTGAATGGAGAATGCTGGTCGGTGGTATATGCTCCATTAGGGGTAACAGGCGTGAGTTTTATATGCATTATGTCAGACCTTAACAGATATTGTTCTAACTTATTACTTGTTCAATTTTAATTACTAACTTATCTTGATAATCAATCGTTACAATATATCCCTGATAATCATACCATGATATAAATTGTCTCAGCGATCTCTTTCTTACCACAAGTAAACTGACACACAAAAAAAACTGAACAAATGTTTGCTAAGCTAAACAATTTCTGATACACAACACCCAATTTCACAACAAAATCCAGTATATTTTAAGTATTTATGAGATCAATTGAAACTAAACTTCACAGTAAACAGTTGAAATGTGACGAATATAATTTTTAAGTGAACTCATTACTTATTTTTTTCATCAGTGATTTTGCATTTTAACCAAGATGACTAGTTTAATTCGGTGATTATGATCTTATTATATCAAGGCTAATGAATAATAAGCATCAAAATGATATACAGTAATTTAAATATATACAAATGAATAGTTTTTTCTTTTTTAAAAATGAAAACTGAAACTTTCAGATAACGAAAATAGAGTGTTACTTTGTTCAAGTTCTACTGTACTTTAAATTATCAGTTATACTTCATACACAGAATGAAATTATTTGAACAAGAATCTGAAGGATGGTTGGTACTGGTGTTTTTTAATAAACAACCCATCATTACGATATTTTTACCAATATCATATATAATTAGTGAAAATGTTATCTATTTTCAATAGATCACAGCACGATACTGTTTTACTGAAATCATATGATTAGTTCGATTTAAACAAAAAACAAAAAGCACCTCTATTTATATGAAATAAAAATAATAATAATAATCAATGACTTAATGTTGTCTAGTACGTAGCGGTAATCGAATAGGATAGATCAATGCGCTGTCCCGATATTGTAGTGTATTATTGTGAAGGAGAATGTTAGTCAACAGTGAAAGGAATTTTGTAGGGTTTTTATTTAATCTTTAGTAACTAGATAGTGTATAATCTTTTACTGAGGGTTAATCAAATCCCGAATGATCAATAGGGAAGACCATGTCGGAAGCCTTAAGTAATGTTTGGATCAGTGACAACAGGACATACTTCCTCTTTAATCAATGCTATGAAGTAGGAAACAAAAGTATGTCGACAATTTCCATCTGATTGCCGCTAACACTTGAACCATTAGAAGCAGTATTGCATTTATTATTGTCAAGTTTCCCGCTATAAATGACCTCATAGTCTGAGTACCTTTGAGTTTAGTGCCTCAATTACCATTGGCTAATTTATAAGATTGGTATAAGAATGAAAATTAGGCAGTTAAACTGTTCATTACGCAACCAATAGTACTCATTTCTTATTCTTTTACCAGAATCATCCACTTCAATAATTTCGCATAAATTCATGCTTTAAACTTTGTATGACAAATAGAAATAATTTCAACGTAGTGACATCAATGTCAGGAGGTGGGATACTTGAATCAATAATGCATACACCAAAAAAATCGATCTATTACGTTCCAAAACATTTTTATGTATATATTTAGATCGTGTTTCATTCAATATAGATTATTTGTCAATTTATTAAAACAAAATGCATTTAAGAAGTTTTCATGCCTGCAGATGAACAGTAGTTTATTATGTATGTTACCTGAAATTTTCTCTTTTAAAATAAATTGCTACAGAAATCTAACTAGAAAAAGAAGACAACAACGAAAATTTCATGAAGTGCTTGAAATATGAACACGATAACACTAGAAATGGGGGAATAGACACATAAAATAATAAAACGTACAAACTACTTCCAGGCCAGTTGTATGGACGGTCTAACTTAAGAAACAATATTAGCCTAATTGAAATGTAGACAACATATATCAATTAGCATAAAATCTACGATCAAAACGTTTCTCATCAGTTTCCACTAACTAACCGATATTAATAGACATTGGGAGACACCGTTTGGAATAGTTCAGAGATGCAAATACAGTAAATCTCTATCTTCCTTTGTATTGTGAATCTGATCATTCAAATCATATTCTCAATGCTTATTCTTTCTTATAATCATTCCAAAAATAATTGATTCAATTCATTTTTTATTCATTATGTTCATTCTATCAAGTTGTGTCGATGTAATGACGATAAGCTCGGTTAAGACATATCTCCCGACCGTAGCTGCTACCTTGACGTGGTGGTCGGGCTTGCCTATCGTGATGACCCAACCGAGCTATATAGGCTGGAACTTATGTTCCTGAAGGTTTTACCATGCCACGCAGGTCGATTGGAGAACGATCAGACTAAAAGCAGCTACCCAAGGTCTGAGGGCGAAGTCGTACTGCTGACTGAAGAGGGGTATGACAACAGTAAGGTGTTTTTCTCGGACAACCAGCATCTGCAGCGATACTGCCTTCCTACAAAGAAGGAAGGGTTAGAAAATGTCGACCCTAAAATTGTCACACCTCACGGATTTCCGTCTCCGGTGGTAAGGGTGCTCACTAGGAGCTTTTAAGAGCGGAGCTAATACTCAAAAATCCTTTCATAAAAAGGTCGTGTGTGACCGGCCTCAAGCAGTTGTTCCCTGGGCTCTGCGGTCACGCTCCCAAGTCTCTAAGACCAATACTAATCTACCTTCCTTTTCAGGTTCCTAAAGAAACACCCTTCCACGGTGTGGGCAGCCGGAAAGTGACAACCGCCCTCATATCCGTAACAACACACGAGACCGAATTGGTCAAAATTAAATCCTTCTTACACCCCTTAATATCTCTCTTATCTCTACGACTAACTCTAGTCGCATTCCTTCAGCTTACTGCACCACTAATGCAAACGATGCGAGTTCACGAAGACATATCTCATACCGAAAGAGATCCATTATATTATTCAAGAGCAATAAAGACGATTCAGTGAATAAAATTGTTGTTTCCTTCAACGGTTTGCTTTACTTAAGCTGTATAATCGTATTTGTGATTAATCGATAGTTTGAAATTAGTAGTTTGTGGTAAAACAGACTATTCTAAATAAATTTATGTATGGTATTATAAAACATTTCACAAAAACTGCATACCAAAAGAAAGCAAGAGTTTGTCCCCGCTTTGAATCGAATCGGTGTGTGAAATAAACCTGTTTACTCACTCATATGGTTATATTGGCGGCAGAAAGCGAGCTCTTCCAGAGCACATTTCCGAACATTACCACGCTTGGCTATCTAAAGAACTACAAAACTCTATCTATCTGGTCATTTTTACTTCGAAATTATTCTTAGTAAGAAGAACCGATTCAAAATAAATACAAATATAAAGGTCTTATTTGAAAAGCAGAAACTCTAGTTTAATCTTTGTAAACAGAAACAATATGTACAATTCTTCCATTCGACCATGGCTCTACATCGTTCTTTCTCTCTTTCATCTCTTTTTCTACTCTAGTCCAATTATTTTCTACAACTATTAATTAGTCATCGTTCGACTATTTTATTTTTTTAAGTCTATTTTACAGAAAATTATCGTCACATTGACATACTTCTTAATTAGCTGGTGAACTATATAGCGCATAACTTCCATTTAATATCTAATTTTTGTAAACATATTTACGCCATGACACTACTTCGATTTCTGCATTCCAGAACTAGTTAACATCATTTTGTTTTTACTTACAGACTACTAATTTTATAAATAGATCATCAATTATGATTAATATAGAATTTATGTAAATCAATATCAATGCACATCTGTTTCCACATACTGTAACATTTGTGATGACTAATTAAACAGAAATCACTTCTTTCATTGAAAGCATAATGGCATGATTCTGATCATTAGTCATTAAAATTTATTGATGATTTGAATTCAAACGTCAAATGTTACAAATAATCAATCGTGTCAACAACAATCATAATAATAATAGTAATAATAATAATAATAATAATGATAATAATAATAATAATCAGAATGAGAGACTAGTTTATATATGTTAAATAATATTGCACATAAATGTATTTTATCCCATAAAATGCAATCAAGTTCCCGGACTAGAAAATAAGCAATAAATTAACAGGTTAGAATATTCATTATTCAAATGTTTGTTGAGTCTTGAAATGATGAAGCAGTAATAAGAGACATTAGAAGAACACTTTGCGTCGCGTTTATCATCATGTTGACAAGAAATAAGAATGATAAAGAACAATTGAATATTATTGAGAATAAAAAGCAAAATAAACATGAAATACAAACTAACACAATAACATAAACGGATGATCTATTCTCTTCTACCTTTTTTTCTCAACAAAATAATTTTAATGATAGAAAGAAATAATTAGTAGTAGTAGTAGTAGTAGTAGTAGTAGTAGTAGTAGTAGTAGTAGTAGTAGTAGTAGTAGTAGTAGTAGTAAATGCACACCAATAAAAAAAAAGTACACAACAATGTGACCTAATATCAATAAATGTGTATGCTAGTGTCAAAATGGAGGCATATAGAGTAAATGACGCATTTTCGACAAAATTGATAATGAACCAGTCATGAAAGCTTTATCAGATGCGATAGCGTCTAATACATCCAAACGACCTTCTACCACATCGATTAAATCGTCAATGTGAATAAAAAGTGTAACATTTGGCGGTTGTTTATTAGACGGTAGACAGCCTGAACCAACTGTGCCTAGTTGAAAAAGAATGTTTGAAGAAAAAAGCAAACAAACAAATGACATATTTATAAGAACCAAGGGAACAGGAACTTAAATTTCTGACATTTGATAACCCATTTATGTTATCTATAACCTGTTTATGATAAATGAAAAAAAGTCCATATTTCAGAAACTGCCAATTGCCAATTTATTCTACTGAAAAATTACAATACATTGATTATAACTTCAATTGAACGGCTGAGGGCGCTAATTGTATACTTTCTTGTATATCTGCCTACCACGGACAGTAGCTGCTATCTTGAGGTGGTGGTCAAACTTGCCCATCGTGATGACCCAACCGAGCCATATTGGTTGGAACAGACAGTCCTTTAGGTCCTGCCATGCCAGGTAAGTCAATTGGATAATAGTAAGGCTAAAAGCAGCAACTCAAGGTCTGAAGGCGAAGTCGTACTGCTGACTGAAGAGGGGTATGACAACAGTAAGGTGTTTCCCTCGGACAATCAGCATCTGCAGCGAAGCTTCCTCCCCACAACAAAAGGGTGTATAAAATGTCAACACTAAAGATGTCACACTTCACCTTACATCATGGATTTCCGTTTTCGGCGGTAAGGCTGTCTGAAGAGAAGAGCTGACAAGTTAAAAACTTTCCGTAAAAAGGATGCGCGTTACCGGCCATGAGCAGCGAAACCAACATTAATTTAGATTACTTTCCATGTCCCTCTCCCGCGGCATAGGCGGTCGAGCGGTGATAGTCGTCCTCATACTCTGTGATCCACGCGAACAACTCTTTGCGCATTATCTTATCAGCTGGAGCTGCTAATACTAATGATTCGAGCTCACAAAACGTTACTGCTGATCTCCTGAAACAATACTCTAAGCTGTTGGAGTTTTTAATTTTTGAAACTTGTGCCAAATACAACAACAGGCTTCCTTAGTTTGAACTCTACAGTCTCACGCCATTGACGTATGCTACGTATCAGAAACGCGTATAAGGGATTTGAACAGAATAATTCACTTGACCTCACCATGTCAAAATAAAGAAGCGTAGAGATTTGCACTTCATGTATCTAGAGACGCCACTGCTACTATCCGTGGCTTCGCTGGTGTAGGTATGGCGTTAGGTTAGAAAGCAGAACCGATATTCCTAGGGTGAATCGTTTTTGTGCTGTTCGGAGTCGAAAAGATAGAGGGAAAAGAGGTAAACTAAAGCAAATCCAAAGGCAACTAGATGAATTTCATATTTCTGTGGCTAAGCTAGCAGCGCCAAAAATACTGTAGTTCAAACACTAGAGTTTATACATAAATCAAGTACTTTTTCTGATTCTGCAAATAGCACTGAATAATTAGAAATGGACTAATCATGATTTGGGTTTGATCAGAGTATCAAAAGTTAGGATTTTATTCTGCCAACACACACAATGAAAACTTTATGATTCCATTTCCATGCTTTAAACTCATTCACATTAAACCTCTTACTAGCTGCATTTTTATCCATGTCACATATTCTATGTTCCAGTAAACAATAAAACTCAAAATGTGTAAATTATTAAAGATATTATTTAAAGAGAGAGAAAAAAAGAATGAAAATACCACGAAAATACAATACCTACCAGTCCCAGCATCTAAATAAAGTAGAATGTAGCCTAGATTTTCTATTGAATTCAATGCTGGTAAATTATCTTTCATAAATTTATTCTGCATTGATATAACTAATTGTAATGATGCACGTTCAAGTGCTTGACAAGCAATATCACTATTAAGTAAACCTTGTGCACGTGTTATAGCTTTGGATAAAGCAGGATGATTATGTGAAAAGCGTAATTGGGATAGAGTATTGAACGATTTGAAACTATACTGATTTTGTATGTTATTCATCATTGGTGGTGTAGATTCAATGGAACTCGATTCATTAGTTGTTGTTATTGTTGTTGTTGGGTTTGATGTTGTTATATCAGAAGTATCAGTTGCCATTGGTATTGACATTGTTTGCTTGGAACTATTAGTAGATAGATTGACTGTCTGTTGTTGTCCTATTTCTAATTGACTAACAGGTGATTTTAGTAGAGATTTGTCGCCTCGATTATTCAACAATACACATGATAATTGTTGCAAATGCTTAGTCACTAGTTCAATGTTTGATTTGGGATTATGTGATGGTGGTGGACGGAGTAGAACTAAATTATCACTAGAAAAAAAGGAATAGCAATGGAAATTTGAGTATAGAAACGATAAGTATTCATTTAAATGAGTAATAGACCATATCTGCTAAAAATAATTAAATAAATTGGAGAAAAGAACCAATCAAAAGCTGCGAAAATACAAACAAATAAATGGGACTGTAAAGCTGGTGGTTTTTATCATATTATATTCATTTATTTAAACGTATACGCATTGGTACAAATGGGGCAGCTATATATTTTTGAGCCAGACAAATTATTGAATTTGTGAGTGTGGCGGAATACTGCCCGGACGCCCGAATCGAAGAAACAGGTAGTTTTCCTAGAGGACCACACTCTGAACATTTGACCTTAAAAGCTAATCTACCAAGTGGTAGAGAAACGTTGAAAAATTCAGTCTCACAGTAGCTGGTGACCGATAATAGGTTCACACGCCATTTTCTCTCTCAGGATCCTGAAGCCCAAATGCACCACTAGTTTGAAATCATGGCTTTTCAACTCCCGTAGATGGATCCTCCATAGTCACTAACTTGGTTAAAGCGCCGCAAATACACTTTTCATCCTCTCCTCTTTGTAAACAACATTAATCGAGCACTGGATGGGAATCCTAAGAGGCACGAACTTGTGACCCCATTAAGGATTGTATCCAAGACCTTAAGGTACCGCACTGAACATTGAGTTAGGATCTAATAATTTACATCCATGACTTCAATCAACTCACAATGCTGAGTTGTCGTATAATGGCATTGGTAACTGATTTTCACCCAACAGCGTTGAACTCCACTACTTACGGCTTATCATTAGAACTGCTGGAGTCACTCCAAAATTGATTGTTATTAATGTGTGACGAAAATGCATAAGGCAGTAAAATCACTTAAAGGTGTTATTTTGCAGAATTCTTGTGTAAATTTGTGTGAACCAATATGGAAAGTATTTGTTCGGATAAGGTAGAAATGCAACTCATATTTTGACAACTAATTTACAACTATTGTCTACTTGACCTAAACTATTTTGAGTAATATTATTCAGTATATAGATATGACGTAGTAGTTTGTGGCTGTGTAGAAAGACTATGTGTCAGCATAGACTTAAAGAACATGGCACATCACAACAAACAATTGATTTGTAAAGGTAAAGTCTAATTCGTCACTATAAATCACTCGTACATGTGATTGATTGTTTTACAGTTAAAAGTAGAAAATTTTTCTTAATACCATAATTTAGTTGCCTGTGATTTGGCAGATTTCTATTTGATGCTTAAGTTGTAGTAAACATTGAAATAAATCAATAAATAAAATCACTATTTTATCAGGACAAACCAATTGTAGTATTTGTAACTGTTAACCACCAAGAAAACGATGATGCTTACCTTAACACTAGTGAAATAGAGAATAACTAAATTGCCTTTTATCAGTCAGTTACGACTTAGAACTTCGTACATGAGTAGAGAAGTTCAGGTTGCCATACCGCATTAGCACAGAGACGCAACTATCAATTCCAATCCCATAGTGGTAGCGATAGCAGAAGTATTAGCAGTAATGGAGAAGATTAGGGTTCGAAGATATGATTCGAGAAGTATAATTCAGTGAGATAAATATAGGAAGAGAAAGGTAGAGATTATGAGGGATTCAGCAACATAGAATTCGAGAGAACACAAAGAGTGGATGTACTTGCACCACTGCAAACGATTTTGAGCCATGTCGTTCAACGTCTCTAATCATCGGTGACTTTGATCTCACGGACCCTAATCACGTAGTCTACACCTACAACATGACTCAGTTCACTTGTCAGTGACTTCATGGATTTCTGCCATGTTTTTGTTCGGTCAGCCCTAGCTTTCTTCCAACGTACTCCCACACCACAAAACATACCTCGACGAGGCAGTAGGTGGTTGGACATACGTAGCACACGTCCTAACTAGCTCAGCCGATCAAGTTTCAATATTTCATCTATTGATTTGCTATCGCCACCTAGTGCTCGTTTTCTAAATATAACACTGCTTCATCAGCTGCTTCGAAGACATCTATAATCGAATACTGATAACCTACGAATGTCTTCTACTCTAACCGGCCATGTTTCACATCCATATAGTGGGACGAAGCGAACTGCTGTACATTAGACACGACCTTTGGTTAGCAAACTGATATCTCGCCTACACCATAAGTGACGCAATTTGGCAAAAGCCAATCGAGACTTCTGTATCCGTGGTGAGATTTCGTCAGTCACCAGGCTATCAGCACTGATGAGACTTCCAAGATAAGTGAAGCGGTTTACACACTCGACTACTTCACCCCCTATAACTAGTTCAGGTGCCAATGTAACCCAATCTTGAAGCAACATTTTGCATTTCGAGGGTGAGGACCGCATCTTGAACATGCTTGCATTGTTTCTGAGGGCAGTCAGAAGACTCTGAATTTTGTCAGCGTCTTCAACGAATAGAACTATGTCATCAGCAGGCGTGTATCCTGGTAGAAGGTCCACTCCTGAAAAGTCAGACGAAGATAATGTTAACTGTAAAAGCATATCTACGATAAAGTTAAACAGGAATGAAGAGAGTTGACAGCCCTGATGGCGTCACTTGAAGTAACCAATGACAGTTTGCCATAAGCTCTAACTGGACCTATAGTGTTCGGGTAGAGAGCCTGTATGAGGTTAATGTACTTCTTCGGTACGCCTTTTAATTACAGACATTGTCACAGAACCTCACGACAAACAGAGTCGAATGCCACTTTAAGGTCGAGAAATGCTATTATTGTGGGGTGTCTGAAAGTGTGTCTTTGTTCTAGGACCTGACGTAGAAAGAATATCTGGTCTACACATTCGGATGGAAATCACTTACATATTCGCCTAACTGTTTTTCTAAAAACTCCTGAAATATATTCTTAGCTTTGTTATCATTAAGTAGAACCCTAACAGGTTTCCTTGCGGTGTCTTTCCTACGTCCGGTAAGTCGCAAACAAATACGCGCTCACACTAGAGCATGGTCTGAATCTAAATATGTGCCCCAGAACGACCGACAGCCCTTTATTGAACCCCTCCATCGGTGATGGGTGGCGATGTGATCTAGTTGGGAATGAATTTTCTTTTACCATTTTATCTACTACAATATTAGAATGGATATAGAATAAGAGCACCAATCAAGTAGAGTAATTCATGTCTTTATTTTAATAAGATTACAAAAAGTATTAGAGGCATAAAAATGAACAGTCTTATGACGAAATGTGATATAACTAAGGAAAGCTTCCACAAAAGAACATAGAGATTCGCAGGATTTTAGGATGAAGACAAACCAACAACAAAAGTAGACTTTGTACAGGAAACATAACGACTCTTTAATCAAAATACACCTATTGATAGATTGATTTTATTGATACCTGCAATTTAGATAACGAATATCATGTTTCAGTCAGTCAGTCAGTTGCGACGTAGAACTTCGTACGTAAGTACATCAGTTCATGTTACCATACCACATCAACACAGAGATATAATTGTCAATTTTGAGCCATGTCATTCAAGGTCTCTAACCATCGATTATTATCATCTCGCGGACCCCAACCAGGTAGTCGACAGTAACCGACATGGCTAAGTCCACTTGTCAATGACTTCATGGATTTCTGCCATGTTTTGGTTTGGCCGCCCCCTAACTTTCTTCCAACCCTTCTGAGATAGTCTCACTCACACCAGGATTCCTAATACCAGTTTCCATGATAAGTCGGAAAAGTTGTCTACTGTTGCCGATCGCCGCTGCCTTTTCCATCGCTTTTGCTTTCGCAACCCACCACTATTCGCGATCGTTACGTAGGCTTTTCATAAGTCTGTGCCTAAGTTGACTTTGTTCCTCATCATGTTCAGAGCCAGGTGGGATGAGTTTTCGGGCATCCATCAGATCGGTGGATGCTACTGAGATCCAGGGCTTCATCCTAGCCTTATGGTCAACCTTACTAGCAGATATCACTGCTGTTTCCACAGCCTTTTTGATATCATTCCATCCTGCTTCCGGATGGGAATCGATTAAATGGTCGCCTAAATGTCTTTCTAGTTGTTCCTGAAACATATTCTTCGCCCTATTATCATTAAGTAAAACCCTAAGAGGCTTTCTTACGGTGTCTTTCCTACGCTCAGTAAGCTTCAAACAAATACGCGCTCACACTAGGGCATGATCTGAATCTAAACATGTGCCCCACAACGAGCAACAGTCCTATATCGAACCCCTCCATCGGTGGCTGATGGCGATGTGATCTAGTTGCATCCAACGTTGAGACGACTTTGGAGGTCGCCAGGTCAACAGATGCTTTTCCTTATGCCTAAAGTTGGTGTTGTCTGAGCATACTTACAACAGACGGTCACCATTGTCTGTTCTATTAGCCGCAACACCATAACATCCACCCAGGTGTCTTTCATTTTCACTTGGTCTACCTACTTGAGCATTAAAGTCACCAGCCATTAATACTATATCACAGCGCCTAGCTTTTTGGAGGAGGTCCGAAAGCTTTCTGTAAAACTCATCTTTTACATCATCTGAACTGCAGTCAGTGGGGGCACAAGCAGATACGACGAAGAGGCAACGACGAATGTCCCTATCTTTGCGATTCCTTACTGTCCCGTTCAGTCGGACAGCGCACAATCGAATTTCTACAGGGATTCAGTCTAGGAGAGATAGTTCTGCCCTACGACTCAATGCTATGCCTACGCCAGCAAGATCTCTGGAAGCAGCATCAGGGCTTCCAGATACACGAAGAGTAAATCGAGCTGCTTCTTCATTTTGACAAGGTGAAATCAGATTAATAATTTTACTAGGACCCTGTATGCGCGTTTCCGAGACACAGCGTACATCGATGGCACGAGATTCTAAAGTCCTAGCTAAGGAAGCCTGTTGCCCTATTTGACACAATGTCCGTACATTAAATGCTCCAACATGTAGTCTAGAGCGGGGTTTAAGGAGACCAGGAATGACGTTTCGTGAACTCGTGTCGTCTGCATTAGCTGTGCTGTGTGATAAATGAATGTGGGAAGATTTAGTCGTGGAGATAAGAGAGGTATTAGGGTATGTAGGAAGGATTTGATTTTGACCAATTTGGTCTCGCGTGCTGTTACGGGTATGAGGGCTGTTGTCACTTCCCGGCTGCCCACACCGTGGAAGGTTGTTTCTTGAGGAACCTGAAAAGGAAAATAGACTAGTGTTAGTCTTAACGACCTGGAAGCTTGACCACAGAGCCCAAGGGACAACTGCTTGAGGCCGACCGGTCACAAACGGCCTTTTTATGAAACGTTTTTTGAGGATTAGCTCCGTTCTTAAAGGCCCTTAGTAGGCACCCTTACCCAAGGAGACAGAAATAGGTGAGTTAGGGGAGGTGTGAAATTTTTAGGGCCGACCTTTTCTAACCTTTCCTTCCTTGTGAGAAGGCAGTATCATTGCAGATGCTGGTTGTCCGAGTGAAAAACCTTACTGCTGTCACACACCCCATCACAGTCAGCAGTACGACTTCGCCCTCAGACCTTGGGTAGCTGCTTTTAGTTTCATCGTTCTCCAATCGACCTGCCTGGCATGGTAGAACCTGCAGGAACATATGTTCCAGCCAGTATAGCTCGGTTTGGTTATCACGATAGGCAAGCCCGACCACCACGTCAAGGTAGCAGCTACGGTCGGTGAATATCATGTTTAACTGAAACTGAACAAATATGTCTTTATTCTATCAACAACAAGCTCGATAAGATCAAATAATTTAGTAATCGAAGACTAAACAATATATGTGGATCACTTGGAACACGTAGCCTAGTTAATAGAACATCTAGAAAATGCAGTTCCTATCTCTTTTATCAATAAAAAACCTTTTTTTTAAGATCATACACAATCTCGCGAAATTATTTACTGAAATATGTGTAAGATACATAAAAAGGCTTCTATTTCACAATTTCAATAAGCATAAAGAAGGACACAGTGAAATCACATACGGGTTAGTATAAACTTACATAGTAACTTCTTTTACATGAATTCCATATGGACCACAACGAGAATTTAATGTTCCCTAGTAATGATAATTTACTAGTTAATCAAATAATCAAAATTTATTAGTTATTAAATATAGTGAATAAGAATTCAGAAATATCATGTATAAACACTTTATTTTATGCTAAATTCAGTTATTGCAACTTATTCTCTATCTGAATGAAGGCTGAATTAGTAACTTCTTATGGCTTCTAAAACTACCACATAACGTAAGCTGTTGATGCTTTTTGATTACTTTGTAAAATGATGTAACCTTTAAAACAATAATTAAAAAAATTCGCACACTGAAATACCTCCGCCCAGAGCCGCTTTGGGGCTACTGACGGTCCTAAGCCCCGATAAAGGAGGGGGGTGCGACCTTATCCCGTAGAAAAATTACTCACTAATAAACGCTAACCAGAAAAAAACCATTCGAACCATTTTACCTCTGCCGCGGTAATTAGAAGGTCTTCATTCAGAAGAGTTATGACAGCTCGTGATGAAAGCACCATGATGATGGAATCAGCGAAACACATTGGACACAGGTTGGACACCGAAGACTAGCTTCAGGAGAGCTGCTGTTATACACCGGCCATGAATAAGAAAATGCTTCACATACACAAAGAGTTGCGTGGATGCTATCCAAACGAGTACAAAAAGCACTGATAGGATGGGAATCTCATTGACCCAGGATCATCAAAGAATCTTCCAAAACAAAGAAAGAAGGCATTACAATGAACACCATCCAATGACTTGTGCCTACCGACAATTATAATGAGATCAATTCTACGACAGGCTTCAGTCAATCGTTGAGAAATGCCCAACAAAGGACTTGACAATTCTGATGGAAGATCTAAATACAGCATCACAAGAGTTTAATACGGCCTTTCTTCGGGATACTGGAAAACTCATCAAATTCAAGATAACCTTTAGCAATAGGTTCTAGGCTTTTCACAATCTACTCAGTCGAAAAGAAACTACCATGGAAAACAATTAAAAAGGAATAAGGAGCCAATCACTTAAATACGTCAAGAGGTTCTGGACCATAATAAACACCAATACAAATAATGGATCAATTTTGATACACTGAGAAACGAGGAAAAAAGGCTGCAATTAACATCAGTCGAAGAGCAGAGGAAGCCGAGGCATAAGCTGAATACACAGAAGCAAACAACCAAGTGAACAGGAGCATCAGAGCCTACAAACATAAATATATGGGAGATCTAGCAGTGGCGGTGGAAAAGGCTGAAAGAAAAAGAAACATGACACATTTGTACGATACAACAAAGAAGCTCTATGGAAACTATTGTAAACCAGAAAGACCAGTGAAAAACAGGGAAAGCAAACCAATCAGCAACATTGAAGAACAGCGAGACAGGAGGGTAGAGCACTTTGAGGAACTCTTGAGTCGATCAGCTACACTGAACCCACCCAACATGGAAGCAGCATCCATGGACCTCCCAATCAATAATAGCGAATCGGGGAAGAAACACCTAATAATACATTATTATTACTAATACATTCAACACTTAAAACCTTTTGGTAATTTTGACCATATTACGCAAAACCACTTCATTTTCATTGTCTTTCACTTCAAAAAGTATGACTATCGTCGATAACTTTGTAAAACTCCTCTATTTCTCTATAGACTACTACGTGAAAGATTAACTATAAATTAGATTGTATAACGCCAGAAAGTGATATCGTCTAAAAAATTTTTTCACTGTTACATCTTACTTCTTAATGAATCAATAAGCTTCTTTAGCACTTACAAACTTACTTTTGTTTCATTAGCCAAGTCAACTTTTGCATTGCCTTGTTCTAAATAATGCCATTCTAAATGAGTAAGCGCTGAAAGTAAACATAGTTGAGTTTGTGTAGTAGCGATTTCTATAGGACTTTTATTAGTTGTACTAAATGCATAATCTGGTTCTAATAGATAAAATATTATTGAACACGTCACTTCAACAACAGCTTCGTCTTTCGTTCCACCCTGTAAAACAAATAAAATGGAAAAAAGAGTTAAATTCAGAGACGAAATCAATATTTTTGATAAGCATAGTTTCTCAAGTTCCATGAAATAGAGACTACACTTTTTTTCACAGTATAAACCAAAACAAGTATTTCTCGAAACTGACGTTATTGATTAAACGTTACAAATGTGGTTGATGCTACTAAAAATATCGTTTAAAATTAGTATGCAACGGAGTGTCATGTTGAAAGTGATATGAGAATATACAAGTTTCAGGAAATTGAAGTGTACAGAGTGATCAGAACATTAGGATACCAGAAAAGGAGCAACCAGCTTGAATCGAAGAAGACGCAACACATGCAAATGGATGATTAAAGACTTGGTGTACATAATGGATGAACAATTTGTAATTTTACTAAATATGAGTATTCCATGTAGACTTAGCTTCTTACTACATCAGATTCTAAACACTCTGAAATAAAAATTTAGAAATTCAGAAAGACCTCTGGATGAGAATCGTTAACATAGAACAGCTTTATCAAACGGATACTAAATGATTAAGAGGTGAAGAAATTTTAGTCCGGAAATTTAGAGGAGATATTAAAGTTGATTCCGTTGACTTCCGTCAAGTGAAATCGACTCTGATCAATAGTAAAATACGATCAATTAATTGGCTGGAAATATATTTTTGATTATTTTAAAAACTTTATATTAATGAATGATATGAAGTCCATTCAAGTTGAAACTGGTGAGTACCAACAACAAAATGCTGCTTTCTTCCAGTTTTTTTTTCCAGATATTCGGTGAGATTTTGAATAAAATGGTTGAAACATAGTTTTGTTTTCACTACATTTTACTTAATAAAAAGATTTTCACTCATTTCATTCACAGCTGCCGTGAATGTTTGATCAGGTATACATTATACGCGTTCACAGGCACATTTATCTCTTTGAGATTTACTTGTTAGCAGATGATAACGATAAGAATACCTATACATTCTTGGATTGATAACTATCAGTCTCAATCGTTTGAGAAACGAGGATTTCCTATTTGGCATTATCCCGATAGTAGAAATCGATAATTGTATTACCAATGTCTCACTGAACATTGATGACGATCCTGCTTTATAACTCGAAAATGTGAACAACCGAATCACAACTCGATGATTCAAAGACAACGATCTTACAGCTGAACCGGAAATTCCTACGTTTATTCAAGTCATTGCGAGGTCGTGAGTTTACACTGTTGAGGATTCTTAGACGGAAACAAACTAAATGTTCAATGTTTCCTAAAACGTCAGTAGTGCATGACCAAGAGATTGAACTAATTCATTCATCTGGATATTTTTCTGTTTCGTGGTAAATTATTGTGTTGCTTCGGTCACTTTAGAGCTGTCTTTAGTTAATGTATTAAACTATTTAGTTTTTAAGTAATACCAGTTGAAAATCTAAGCCTCTGTGACATTGAAAGTTATGCATAAATATACTATAGTAATTCATCAACTCATGACTTTGTATACACAGAGTGCTTATAAAGTGATATTGAAGTTCCAATAAATCTTTTCAAAATAATGATTCATATTACACTAAAGAATTAGACTTGAAAACTATTAGAGTATCACTGATCTAAAAGAATTGAGGCAATTACTGAATTATTCTAGTCTACATTACGAATTTATCTTAGACAATAATTGGAAACCACGTCTCAGGAATGGATACTAGGTGGGGCTAGAAGTAGGCATTGCTGATGAAGAAAACTATATCTACCGCAACCTGGTTCTCAATACCTGCCGGAAACCAATAAGGTATAAATGAAGCAGTAAAAATGTAAAAACAAGTTTCACTGATTAAAATATCGGCTTTAATCACAATATGTGATGAATCATACAACAGAAGATGGAAAAGGTTTGAGCTAAATACAGAATCACAAATAAATAAACATCCTAACTAGTAAATCAGAGCTACACTGTTTGTCTATGTCAGTCAAGCAGTTAGCTGCAACGTAGAACTTCGTACGTACACTAGTTCGAGTTGACATACCACATTAGCACAGACATAAACAATTGTCAATATAAATCCCATAGTAGTAGAGGAAACAGAAGTACTAGCAGTAATGGGAACGATGTGAGTTCCAAGATATTATTGAAGAAGTGTAATCCAGCGAGGTAAATTTAAAAAGAGAAAGATGAAGGTCATGAGGAACTCAGAAGACAAAAAATGGATGCATCTGCGCTATTGTAAACAATTTAGAACAAAGTCATTCAAAGTCTCTAACAACCGGTTACGATTGTCTCGCGGACCCCAACCAGTTAGTCTACACCTACTAACATGGATCAAACCAGTTGTCAGTGACTCCATGGATTTGTGTCATGTTTTGATTTGACCCCCTCTAGCTTTCTTCCAACCTACACTTACACCACAAAACATCGTACATCGGGGCAGTCGGTGATTAGGCATACGTAATACATATGCCAACCAACTCAGTTGGTTAGCCATCCTTACCTAGTATCCTTTTCCTAACACTAGCATTGCTTACTCGGTGGTCCCACGATATGCGAGTAATGCTCCGAATACTAGTAGCCTAAGAATATCCTCTACTCTTACTGGTCATGTTTCACAGCCGTGTTCGTCTATTTATGAGTGTGTTGTATGAATTAAAGAAACAATAATACAGAATTCGATTTCCATGAAGAAAAACTAAACTATAAGTTAAACAAAAAAACCTGAAATTCTAAAGATAGTTTGTTGAAATTTTATAGTTTACAATAACAACGTGCATTTCCTTTCACAATAAATTAAAAAAACAAAATAGCAATATACTTAGACCAAATTATATGAAGAAGTAAGCACATAAGGAGCTATGAGAAGCTCTTGAGAATTCCTCATAAAAGTTTTCGTAAGCTAAGCTACCATTAAAAACACTTTGTTCAAATAACGTCCAATTAGACAGTTCCCAGACAGTCCTTGAGAATTGATAAGTTATGTGTTACAATCCTGGTCAGATGATTATCAACCATAGTACCAATCATTTTCGAATGTCTCCAGAGGCTTACAGAACATCAAGGTCAATGCATAAACTTATAAACATTCTAGTTTTTGTACCCAACTCGCTAGCGGCTACAAAGCCAGCATCACGTGTTTAATTAAGCACCAGACGTATATGATAAACTATTTTTTTTTGAAGACTCAACAAATAGTCACTTACAGATACAGGTTTAATCTTCACTAGTTGATCATCGAGAGTGATTAAATGATAACGATCACATATAGGTAATAGAAATACCCAACCTAGAAAGAAAAAGAAAGTAGAAAGTACTGATGATAAAAAAAACATTCTCCAAATAGTTTTCCAGATCAAAGTAATAAATTTGCATAAAATATTTTATACAAGAGAATAAGGATAATAAGAACATTATCGATTGATCAAAACATGAATATGTCTAAGCTTATTACAATTGATAATTTGTGCATCGAATCGATTCACTGATGTCAATTGATCATGATTTTCGAAAACAAAAATATCTCTGGTCAATTAGGTGTATATATATCAAGGGATCGATTGATCATTTACATACAAAATATTTAATCGAAATAATATTAATATGAATTAGAGGTCAGTTTAAGTGATAATTTATCAATGATGCACGAAATAAGCTTCATAATAATAAAACTATCAATGAGATCGTGTTTTATTTCATTTTGTGTCGATTGAAAGAATGAATAACGTGATAACACTACATAGAGTAAAAGAGAGGAGTAAAATAAGTTGTCACTGATAAAAATGCAAACAATCAACTGTGGACACAAAATTTGATTGGTGTAATGTCAAATTCTTAAATGGAATAAATGCAAAGAATGCTAGGAGTACGAAATTCTATTTATTCTACAACCATAAGATAATTTATTAATCTGTAAGAAAAAAGGTTAATCATACATGGTTGAATGTCTAATCACATAAACTAATGAGATATTATTCAGTAAGGTAAATAAAAAGCACGGATGACTTAAACAATGTAGATAGTGTATCATCAAATTAAGTCGCCATATTTTAAAACGAAATAATAAAAGATCAATAAGAGGAAAACGATGCTGAAGTGATGTAAAGGACACATAAGGACAAATGTTTAACTGTAAGAACATTGTAGTCGAAGACAGAGGCAAAGCAAAGAAAACCAGAACATCTCTAAGAATTTTGAATCAAGATAAGTTAGTGACCACTAAATACATGGAAACAGATTTAGTTTATCAGCCCATTATAAAAAGCATAAGCAACCATTAAATATCCCGACCGAAGTTGCTACCATGACGTGGTGGTCGGGTTTGCTTATCGTCATGACCCAACCGAGCTATATTGGCTCGAACATATGTTCCTGAAGGTTCTGTCATGCCACGCAGGTCGATTGGAGAACGATGAAACTAAAAGCAGTTACTCCAGGTCTGAGGGCGAAGTCGTACTGCTGACTGAAGAAGGGTATGAGAGCAGTAAGGTGTTTCCCTCAAGAAACAACCTTCCACGGTGTGGGCAGTCGGGAAGTGACAACCGCCCTCATACCCGTAACAGCACGCGAGACCAAATTGGTCAAAATCAAATCCTTCCTACATTCCCTAATACCTCTCTTATCTCCACGACTAACTCTTCTCACATTCATTTATCACACTGCACAGCTAATGCAGACGACACGAGTTCTCAAAACTTCATTCCTGGTCTCCTTAAACCCCGTTCTAGACTACATGTTGGAGCATTTAATGTACGGACATTGTGTCAAATAGGGCAACAGGCATCATTAGCTAGGACTTTAGAATCTCGTGCCATCGATGTATGCTGCGTCTCGGAAACGCTCATACAGGGTCCGAGTAGCATTATTCATTTGACCTCACCATTTGAAGATAAAGAAACAACTCGACTTACTCTTCGTGTATCCGGTAGCCCTGATGCTGCTTCCAGGGGTCTTGCTGGTGTAGGCATAGCATTGAGTCGTAGGGCAGAATAATCTCTCCTAGACTGGATCCCTGTAGATAGTCGCTTGTGCGCCGTCCGACTGAACGGGAAAGTAAGGACTCGAAAGGATAGGGACACTCGTCATTGCCTCTTCGTCATTTCAGCCTACGCCCCCACTGACTGCAGCCCAGATGATGTAAAAGATGAGTTTTACACAAAGCTTTCGGACCTCCTCCAAAAAGTTAAGCGCTCTGATATAGTTATAATGGCTGGTGACTTCAATGCTCAAGTAGGTAGACCAAGTGAAAATGAAAGACACCTGATTGGATGTTATGGTGTCGCGGCTGAGAAAACAGACAATGGTGACCGTCTGTTGCAACTGTGCTCAGATAACCGCCTATTCCTAGCAAACACTAACTTTAGACGTAAGGAAAAGCGACCGCCGAAGTCGTCTCAACGTTGGACGCAACTAGATCACATCTCTATAAGCCGACGGTGGAGAGGCTCTATCGAAGCCTGCCGCTCATTCTGGAGCACTTTTTCAGACTCAGACCATCCTCTAGTGCGAGCGCGTATTTGTTTGAGGCATACTGGACGAAGGAAAAATATCGCAGAGAAACCTCTTAGGGTTCTACTTAATGATAATAAAGCTGTGAATATAATTCAGGAACAACTCGAAAAACAGTTAGGCGACCATGTAAGCGATTCCCATCCGGATGCAGGTTGGAATGGTATCAAAAAGGCTGTGGAAACAGCAGTGATATTTGCTAACAAGGTAAACCATAAGGCTGGGATGAAGACGCGGATTTCAGTCGAATCCACTGAACTGATGAATGCTCGAAAACGCATCCCGAGTGGCTCTGAGGGCGACGAGGAGCTGAGTCAGCTTAGACATAGGCTGACAAAAAGCCTACGCAATGATCGAGAACGGTGATGGGTGGAGAAAGCGAGGGAGATGGAAAAGGCAGCGGCGATACGCAACAGTAGGCAACTATTAAGACTCATCAAGGAAACTGGTATTAGGAACCCAACTGTGAGTGAGACTATTTCGGAAAAGGATGGTCTTATTATCCATTCTCAATCCAGGAGACTGGATCGATGGGCAGAACACTTTAGGGATCAGTTCAACTGGCCTCGAGTCACTCTTCGGTTACCCACGATCTCCAGTCATCCTGAATGGCAAATCGACGTGAGTCCCCCTAGTCTTAATGACGTTGAGAAAGCGTTAGGAAATCTGAAACCAGGACGAGCTGCAGGTCCTGATAGACTGACCCCTGAGATATTTAAGGATGGTGGTCGAGTTTCAGCAGCTAGGTTGACTGAGATCTTAGGTAGAATCTGGGAACTGTACGTAATCCCATCCGACTGGTCTCAATCCTTGATTGTCCCAATCAATAAGAAAGGACAAAAGTCCTCTTGTGGCAATATAGTTTCTAAATTGTTAGCGCGTGAAGAGCAGGCTAAAGAAAACCAGTCTGGTTTCAGACCTGGACGTGGCTGCATAGACTACATCTTCACACTACGACAGGTCCTGGAACACAGACACACATTTAGGCGTCCGACAATAGTTGTTTTCCTGGACCTAAAAGCGGAATTAGACTCAGTGAATCGTGAGGTTCTGTGGCAGTGTCTGTCATTGAAAGGTGTACCAAAGAAGTACATTAACCTCATACAAGCTCTCTACTCGAACACCACTGGTCGAGTGAGGGCTTATGGCGAACTGTCACCGGAATTCTCTACATCAAGTGGTGTCCGTCAGGGCTGTCCACTCTCCCCATTCATGTTTAACTTTGTCGTAGACATCCTCTTAGAGTTAACATTAAGCTCGTCAGATTTTTCAGGGGTTGACCTTCTACCAGGAAAGTTGCTTACTGATCTAGAATATGCCGATGACATAGTTCTATTCGGTGAAGACGCTGACAAAATGCAGTCTTCTGACTACCCTAAGCAACAATGCAAGCATGTTCGGGATGCGGTTTTCCCCCTCGAAATGCAAAATGTTGCTTCAAGACTGGGTTGCTTCGGCACCTGAACTAGTGATAGGGAGTGAAGTAGTCGAGCGTGTACACCGCTTCACTTATCTTGGTAGTCTCATCAGTGCCGCTGGCCTGGTGACTGACGAAATCTCAACTCGGATACAGAAAGCTCGATTGGCTTTTGCCAACCTGCGTCACTTATGGCGTAGGCGTGATATCCGTTTACTAACCAAAGGGCGGGTGTACTGCGCAGCAGTTCGTTCCGTTCTCTTATATGTCTGTGAAACATGGCCATTAAGACTAGATGTTCGTAGGTTACTAGTTTTCGATCATAGATGTCTTAGAAGCATTGCTTGTATATCGTGGGACAACCGAGTAAGCAATTCTATAGTTAGGAAACGAGTACTAGGTAAGGATGGCAGATCAATAGATGAAGTGGTGAAACTTCATCAGTTGAGGTAGTTGGGACATGTGTTATGTATGCCTAACCACCGACTGCCTCGACGAGCTATGTTTTGTGGTGTAGGAGTAGGTTGGAAGAAAGCTAGGGGCGGCCAGACCAAAACATAGCACAAATCCATGAAGTCACTGACAAGTGGACTGAGTCATGTTGGTAGATGTAGACTACCTGGTTGGGGTCTGCGAGACGAAAGTCTCCAATGGTTAGAGACCTTGAACGACATGACTCAACATCGTTTGCAGTGGCGCAAGTGCATCCATTCTTTGTGCTCTCTCAAATCCTAATCTTCTGGATTGGTCAGCACCTCTACCTTTGTCTTTCTGGCCTTATCTCACTGAATTATACTTCTTGAATAATATCTTCGAACCCTAGTCTTCTTCATTTCCATTAATACCTATATTGTCTTTATCACTATGGGATTTGATTTGACATTTGCATTTCTGTGCTAATAATGTGGTATGGCAACATGAACATACGTACGAAGTTCTACTTTGCAACTGACTGACTGACTGAACCATTAAATATGAATACCATGATAGAACGGGTCAACATCACCCAATCAAATTCAAGATCCACAAATCAATCTACCAGGCAAATGTGAAGAAATCCGAATAACTCACTTCTATCGAAAGCTTGTTCTGATGGTGTGACCTAGACATATAACGAAAGCATCAATGTCAAATCATCCAGCTCAAAGAACAAGATTTATTAAATAAGAAGGAAAAACAAATACGTACTTATAGAAATTCTAAAATGAATCAAATAACCAACAGAATTTAAATATGTATATGCATTGATGACGACTGCAGTTTTGACATGGGATCCCTACATGATTTGTAGATTAACACATTATAATGAACATATTTACTAATCACTACATGACTTATAAAAATTATTCACAAACAGCTGTTGAATTGAAATTACCTATTCTTCTAATAGTTAAACATATGCGACGAAGCTAAAGATGGTGAAACTAATAATAGGTTGAAAGAATAATTAGTACTTCTTGAACTTTAATGTTTCAATCCGAATTCATTGTGAAGAGTCTCAAAAGAAGCTGGTACAAGATTTCTTGATTAAAACTTAACTACTTAATCATATTAAGTAGTCAAACTTTTAGTGATAAGAATTTTGCGGGCCTTCAGTTATGGAAATTATGAGTGATTCGTGGTAGTTCGTCTATTTAAAAGAAGCACTGTAATCACACGATCAGTCATCAACAAAGTTTTCAGCGACAGAAAATTTAGTTGCGATAAACCTATTATTATGGAACAAACAGCGTTATCAAAGTTAAAACTCTACACAATTCAAATCAATAACTGCATTACTTGTTACACTCAACAACCGTCAAATCGATATAAAGGTAAATTTCTAAGCAGATAAAAAAAGGCTTCTTTAACTGTAAATAAAGGATAATAGCCAAAGCATTTCATACATCATCATTATAGGTTTATTAAATTCTAGTGCATTCATTAGAAAGTAAGAACCACTTATTTGACCACATTGTATAGTCTACCCTCACAGAGTTACATTTAACGTAGTCACATGAAAGGGAGAAGAAAATCAGTCCTGATAACTATGTATTAATTTTATTGGACAGTAGATAAGTTATAGTTCTTTTATTTTTTTAGGTGACTTCATTTTTACTTTGGTATATTAACGTGATTTGTTAGATGACAATATCTCTTCTGCTGAACAATTGTCGACAAATTTTCTTGAAAAAAGTGAATAAGATGGTTAAGTAAATTAAGTATGAATAGATTTGATTGGCTAACTATATTATTTGATAAAAGCATGACTACAAAGTGCTTAAAATGCTGAAATTATTAATTCCAATAAAATCAGTGGACTATGATTAGCGTTGGAATTAAGGATGTATTTTGTCATGTTTGTGACTCGCCAGCTAAATTTACTCGCATCCGAATGTTACTATTTACGATGGGACTAAAATCCTGTACCGTTCAGTCTAAATGATAATATCCGCTAAATTATTTGATGAGTAAGGTGTTCATATTCTTACTAATGAATTTAAGTAATTGAAGTATATATTTTTAGTCTTTGCTCATATGTGAACTGTCTCAATATAACCTGTTCTTCTTGGGTCTCACTGCTAGCTAAAACTCTTCTATAAAACATGTAACGAGATAATAAAATCAATATTCAAATACCCTAATAAAGACCGACAAATTCAGTCTTGAGTAGCATTAAAGGGATCATTCAAAGCTTTACTAATGACGTCTGAATAATCAATTTGAAAAAAAAACAATGTTTAACATACCTGGTCCCTTAGATTTCATTCGTTTTCCTAGCCGAAATACGATGATTCGTTCACTTTTCGTAAGATGCTAATAATAGAAGAAACATTTTACTTTTTGCGGCAAATTAATTACAGTTTGATTTATAAAATAATATCACGCTAGTTTAGACCAAATCATAAAACTTTAGTAAAATATATCTAGATGTAAAACAAAGAAACTGTTTCTTATCCTATGTATTGTCAATTTAAGTAAATACAAACCCAATTGACAAAAATAAGACACAACCTACAGTATCGGTTGAGGGTGCTGATATGTTGGATTAGTTAAAATCTAATCATAATAAGCTCTTTTCTTCTCTGCATCTGTTATTGAAAACTTATTGTTGTTGTATTGTTACGAAGTTGAGGTTATCTAGCCATGTAAAAAAAATCGCAATTAATCATCGGGATGACAATCAAGAAATGCATACTAATGCTAATCATGTACGGCGATACAATAACAGCTGAAAACAGGTAAACAAGCAATTTACAACACAAAATATTCACATATATGATTTGTATAGGAATGTCTACCTGTGCTCACTGGCTAATTACAAGTTACTTTGACCGGATATTGTAAATGTGTTACACATAAGTTTATGAGCAGGGCATTAAATTACACTTTTCATGCAAAAAATTGAAGTTCTCAACAAATGTTACATCGACTATACGAGAACAATAAACCTGGCTAGTTTAATGAAAAATTAACCATGAATATCAACATCGACAAAAACCTAAAACTTCCTAATATATTCAAATGTATAATAAGGCAGTCAACGACATTCGATTTGGTGAAAATCAGCAAGATGCACCCGCATTTCAATGCTGATTTCGACACTGAAACTTGAACTCAATATTGTTTATCACTTCAAGTATTCAATGCTTTATCTACAAAGACACAGTGAGTCCAGATATCTATCAACATTTTATTATTCTATGAGCATATAAACAATGGGAAATTCCAAACCCTTCTTCCTGATAACTTACCACTGCACTTGATATATTCATTGTCTACATTTACACAATAACTAGGATTGTATTCATATCATACACATTAGTAGAGAGAAATTAGCTTAAATTTTCAAGTTTAATATCATCTAGATAAAATTCAAAATTTTGTACAGAATAAGGCATGCAATTTGATTGGTTTGTGATTAGGAATGTAAACATGAATCATGCGAAAAATGACAATGTGAAAATTCACCCAAAATCATTGTATATATTCACGAAAACTATTTTGGTATTGGCACCAAAAATATCAAGTTCATAACTTTAGCTAATATCCTGAGATTAATTATAGTATGAGAGAACTGTTAATCAAGTTGATGGCTTTAGTAAACGGATTAGTTCAAAGATGAAAGATGATATAAAGAGCAAACGAAATTGAAAAATATTTGCATTACGATACACAATATAAATAGATCCATAGTTAACTCACCTTCACATAAAACCAGCACAAAAATGGAAAGAATACAACTAATAGTAGAGCTGAGAGAACAAGGAACGAATAATGTATTCGGCTGTTTACATTTTTAGAATATGCAGAATCCATAAAATCACAAATGTCTAATTGATAGTCTACAGCTAAAATTACAAAAGCATGATAAAATAAATATGAAATGATAAGCAGAAATATCTTACAGTTTATTCTTAATAATTACAGTAAAGTATACACTGATATATACCAGTCATAGGAAATTTTATAATTTACAGCACGGATTGATCATAGTCATTATTTTATCTTATTAAATACATAAGCACTGTTATAAAGGAACAACCAGGGACCGCTGGATATCCGTCCCGACCGAGTATTGGACTTTTCAGCAATGCATGTCTACGACTCCGCCAAAGTTTAAACACAAAACATTTAGGTTCCGTAGAGACCGATTAATCTTCAGCTATTATCCAATGATTTAGATATTTCAATCACATGGCTGACTTTGAAGGGCGATTTCCAACATTCTATTAAGAAACCATGAGCGGAGTTCAGCTTTCTTAGACTTGTGATAAATATCACAATGGATGGATGACGATCAAACACTATCGCCAACTGATTAGTGATGAATCTAAATCATTGAATCCTACTTCAGCAATCTAAAGCTTAAGTAGTCACTACGAGGCCTGAAGGTCTTTGATTTGATTTTTAATGGGTTCCTAAATATGCACTGCCATGTGCTGTATTAGGAGAAAACAAGAGTCCAAAACCTCCAGGTTTTCAATGGTTGTCTAAGGTCAGTTCGTGACATAAACTATGAGAATAAAAAAATGTTAATGATACTGTACTAGTTAAACGGGAATGAATGCTCAATGTGTACTAATCATTCTGTCTATACTTGTAAATGTCAATTTAAAGTCATAATTTGTAATTAATAAAAAGGTACAGGAGCTTGTAGTGTCAATATACGCATAAAAAAGACAATAAACACAATCAATTTCATGATTCACTATACAAATAGGTTCATTTGATTTCTACCTCAACTAACTAAGCTACATGATTCCAGAGGTACAATACCTAAACACAGTAACCAATAAAAGCAAAACAAAATTAAGCAGTGGTTAATGATTTCAGTTATGAACTAAGTGTTAGAGAACAAACAAGCCTTGACCTCATTTGAGTGAATGTAATCGAACTACAGTCAGTAAACTGGTACTAGCAGAGATTTAAAAAATAACAAATCGAATCGTATAATTTGCTTATATACCCTGGTATAGATTTGCAATGTTTATAGCTCATAAGTTCGAGAATCACAGATCGTATCATTTTATATAAACTTGTTTTGAAAAATAGCCATTGAAGACTAAGAAACATTAAGTCCTAATTCGGAAAATAGCAAGGATAACTGGGCTACCTGCTTCCTTACAAAAGGATATTTCAAAAAAACATCTATTTTTGTTTGTTTCATAACGTGAATTATGACTGTTAATCGCAAAATCTATTCAGACGTGGATATAAAGAGTAGACGTCTTATTGCTTAAGGAGGTACCAAAAAGCACAATTCGAAACATCGGTGTGGCTGAAAAAAAGAAAAACAGTTAATAAGATGTCGATTACCGAACTGCATACTTCCAACAGCCGATCACTACGTTTTTTTACAGAAAAAACCTGTTGAAATATTACGTGCTGAAAATTTCATATTGTACCAAACATATTATATGGCGTAACGCCATTATTATTATTATATTAATCAGAATAAAATTCAGATTAGTAACATTGAAAACCTCCTAAAATTTTGTACGTTTCAGAGTAAAATAAATACTGTATATTAGGTTTTATACAAACAACTCACTATTTGTAATAGGATCGGAGTAGGTGAAGATCGTTTTGTAGTTATTGCCAGTTTCCAGATTGTCAGACTTGGTTTCGGAAAAATTAAAAGCTGTACTGAAGTCGAATGTTTGTTTTCGACCATCTAGCCCATTGAGACGGATTAAATCTGATGGTTTTGTAAACTCAATTTGTTTAACAGGTGAGTCTACTTCATAGCTGAATTTGTATCCTGATTGAATGAAAGAATCAGAAGTATTAACATCCTCGGATTTATGACGAATCGAGGGGAATTTGAAGTACGTCTTTGATTGACGGTCACAAAACTTGTTATCATTGTTGATAAAATGAGAATCATATGACAACTTAGTATTTAACTCCCTCTACAGAAGTTAAAAACAGCAAAACTACTTGAGTTTTCCGAGTAACAAAATACTTCGCAGTTTAATAACCAATAAGCTTCTAATAAAAAAATGCGGACACTGAAACTGTCTAGTGTGACTAAAACATTTAATAATTCACAAAATCTCAAATGAAAAGTTTCATTTATCTAAACACATAAACACTGAACAAAAAAGACATCGAAAAATACATGTGCCACAGAAATCAGTTATCGTTAAATTCGTGCGTAGGTGGGTGACTAAGCTAAAATAGGTGATAGTCGTTCACCAACAATAGATTCATAGACCATTTGTTCTCCCAGGATACTAGAGCCTATGTGCACTACTGATTTAGAAATAAAGTTTTCCACCTACTCCATGTGGATCCTTTGTGTCCACCAACGCAGTTTAGACGCTGTACATCCGATTTTCGTCCCCTCAATTTTGTGAACAATACCAGCGTCAGGAGAAGGTAGTGAGCAGAACACGTGTCGGATTTTGTATACTGATATTATCGTTTCTGTTTTACAATTGTTAATAATAGTTTCCTTGAGCTGCCACAACTGCTTTTTCCATCACTACTGCTTTCAGAAGGTTGTTTAAATACAAAACCAATAGTGCATAAACCATTTTGATGTCCAGTATTCGAGCAGTTTGAAAATGAAAGTAGGTTCCCAGAGTGAGATGATAGTTTAAGAGACGAAACTTAACTGTCATATGAAAGCTTCTCTATTGCACCTACAATGAAGACCTAGATTTAACAGAAAGATTGATGGAGTAGCTAGTTTATTTGACGACGCTGTCAAACGACAAACAGACGCTTTGAACTGTTTATTATAAAAATACTTAGAATACTGAAGAATTTACTTTGATTATGAATTACATGGTATGCAGCCGAAAGTATGAGAGGCAGTGAATGTCTGTTCATACAGACCAAGAAACAATAAGCGAAACCTAAAAAGACAGCCATATAATGACAATCAGGGACCAGCAACAATAGGAGGTAAAGAACAGAGAATTGATGATTCATTAGGATATCTGCAGCTACAGGCGACGTCAAAAAATCCGTCAGTCATTCAAAACGTTAGAAATTGGAGCGTACGTACATCAGTTCAAGTTGCCATACCGCATCACTTTAGAGACGCGACTGTCAGTTCGAATACCATAGTACTAGAGGTAGTAGAAGTACTGGCAGTAATCGGAGGGATTAAGGTTCGATGATATTATTCAGGAGGTAGAATCTGGTCAAATAAACTTAAAAAGAAAAAGATAAATGTGATGAGGAGTTCAGAAGATAGGATTTTCGAGGACACAAAGAATGAATGCACCTGCAACATTGCAGACGACTATGATCCATTTCATTCAAGGTATCTAGCCGTCGATTACTAGCATCTCGCGGACCCCAAACAAGTAGTCTACAACTACCAACATGACTCAGTCCACTTGTCAATAATTTCATGGGTTTGTGCCATGTCTTAGTTTGGCCGCCTCTAGCTTTATTTCAACCTTCTACTACACCACAAAACATAGCTCGACGAGGCAGTCATTGGTTAAGCATACGCAACACATGTCCCAACCACCTCAACTGATGAAGTTTCAATAATCCATCTACTGATCTGCCATCCTTACGTAGTACGCGTTTTCTAGCTATAGCATTGCTTACCCAGTTGTCCCAGGATATACGAGACATGCTTCGAAGACATATATGATCGAATACTAATAACCTACTAATGTCCTCTACTCTTACTAGCCATGTTTCGCATCCATACAGTAAGACGTCGGGAACTGCTGCGCAGTACACTCGTCCTTTGGTTAGCAGACTGATATTTCGCCCACACCATAAGTGATGCAAGTTGGCAGAAGCCAATCGAGCCTTCCGCATCTGTGCTGAGATTGTGTCACATACCTGGTAATCAGCAATGATGAGACTGCCACGAAAAGTGAGGCAGTCAGCACTACCTATCACTAGTTCAGGTCCCGACAAAAGCCAATCCTGAAGCAGTATTTGCATTAACAGTGGGAAAATCGCAACCCGAAAATGCTTGCATTCTTGGTTAAGGTGGTCAAAGAAGTTTTAGACTATGGCAAACAACATGAAGTTTTAAGGTCACATAATCGCCAAAACCGAAATCACACTTCATGAACAACTCAACGTAGGAATAGTCTGCAAAGAAAATGCGTGTCGATTATACGCATTTTTATTCACAATCACGAAATTCATGTTAACCCTAATATCGACATGCGAGGTCAATACAAATAATATAGGCCTTAACTTTTCGAAACCTCAAAAGCCAAAGCTATTTAGTGAGAATACAAACAAGTGGAACGACTTTTTTGCACATGAAGTGAAAACATACCATATGATGTTACATAAATTCGTTATCCAGAAGGACCTTGATACCTATAATGTCCTCAACCTTGAGCTTTACATCACTGGTATGTTAAAACATAATTTACTCGACATTTAGGAAATGAACACTTTTACATTTATATCTTCATATTGTACAACAATCACCAAGTGAAAGATGTTCAGCACGGATATACATGGTATAACGAACAGGAACTTTTATTTATTATACGCATAAAAAATTAGTGAAAGTGTCAATCATTCGTCGCTTTTATTCATGTCTGTGCATGCCTATTTCGCTTGTCATATGTCTGTCTTATTCTTATCTGACTATATATTCTTAGTCATACTCTATCTCTTTGAGTTGGCTCTTAGCCTTCTCCAATTCGCTTCGCCCATTCGCTCGCATAGTAATCCAAAGAGTTGGCTCTTAGCCTTCTCCGATTCGCTTCACTATGTGGTGTGCCTCGAATAAACGTATTCATCAAAACGAGTTCATCTTCTGACTTATAAACCGAGCTTAAGAACACACAATAAATAGGCACACTACAAAAGCACTACTATTGTTCAAAATGATAATTGATTTAGTTATTCAAAGTAAAAATATATAGCGGAATAATAAGCTCTCACTTCGGAATGCGTCGGATTTGCTGGTTATTGAGGCCATCGAATTCCGGGTAAGCAAACTATTTTATCCTGACATTTTCCGAAAAATTATTGACTCTGCATGAAGCTATACTGTGCATATCATCCCTTTTGTGGTTTGTGATTAAAGGGTTTACTGAGAATTTGAAAGAATATGCTTATAAATTTTGCCGTGGTTGTTTCAGTCTCACTATTATGGTTCGTCCTAGTTAACACATTTTTCTTTATGCTATTTCAGCAAACAACAGATATTCAATCAGCTGCCATGTCCTGATGAAGCAAAACGCGCGTTCAGGAAATCATTGCTAGCCATTTTTTTATCACCAATTAATGTATATGTTACTGAATTCCAAGGATAATTTATACGCGAAATTATTTGGTCAACTGCAGAGATGATCATCAACGTAATGTTTCAACTGAGCATCACACATGCATTTAAAATGCCATATATTGTTGATCCATATTTTACACAAGAGATGAGATGAAAGTTTTCACGTTTGTCTTCGCTTATCAACGGCTCATTACTTACCTGCTTAATTATGCATGTTACACCATCCCACAAAATCGTTAGCTGATCGATGTGAGGCTTGGAGGCCCCAACTCGAACTACAGTACTCTTTGATACCAATTAGTCTCATTTCAACATGATATACCTTTCTGATTTTCAGCAGCACTTTGGTTTGTCTACCTACGCCTGCCACCAACAGCAGAGTATAGGCCACCGACGAGCATTCTCCAAACCAGACTTTCCTGAGCCTGTTTTTCCAGTTCTATCTGATTTCTGTTCATTCTTCTCATGTCAGCATCCAATCCTTGGCGGAATGTTTTCGCTGATCCTACTGTTCTGAGGATACTAAATGAGGGCTTGTGTTGTGACACGGTTGAGTGCTTTCCTCAGAGTATGTATTATAACCACGAGTGCCATTTACAAATTTCTTCTTCAACTGGAATTCGGTTCATTCTCTCCTATAATTGGTTGTTACGGATGATTTTTGACCAAAGTATCCTTATTATTACTTCTAGACCACTGTTAATAAACACTTGCATCCTGTAAATAATTACTTTCGTGGTTATCCGCTTCATACTATAGAATTATCTTGATGTTCTTATCGAAAATTCTGACTTTCTACACCTTCCGATGCTTTTCTTCAAGATGGGTCAACTTCATATTACACGTTTTTCTAAGACAAGGAGAGGTTGATAATCTCCCCCCTTTTTCGCATGTTCCTCCCCGTTAAAGTAGTCAGTGCTTTTCTTCATATCGAGCGTTGTCCATTTCAAAATTGCTGATTACATTTTCCATGGGAATTGGAGTGTAGTGTATTTGACCATCATTCATGAAGGCGGGGCGAAAAACTTAGTCTACGATGTCTAAGGTGCCAAACATTTGTTTTCTTTCGGGTTCTTGTGGTAGATATAGCAGCATGTAACTAATCAATCATATATCATAACTCTCTGAAATGAAGTCCTGAAAACTACCAGAAAAAAGATCAAATTGTGTGAATTATTTTCTGGTAAGTGTTTTGTAGTACGTTGACCGTATCCTTAACTATACTGCTTTATCCGGGTGTTAGTTATTATATAAATAATTCTGGTTATGTCATAACTAACCAATATGATTGGTTAGGCACCCACCACGTTATCTAGTCTGACCGGTCTACAAACTTCTTTGTTGTGAATGACCTATCGATTGAAGGATGTTATTATTTTATTTTATATAGATGTGACTCATGTTTTTTATTCATTTTCTAAAGACACGCTATACTGGCCGGTACCTTTGCTCATCTTACTTGATAATTGTAATTTCCTAATTTATTGTACTAATTTAATCGCTTTTTGTTTGAAAAAAACAGATACAGTTTAAAACCAAGTTTTCATTCTTCTGATTTATCGTCGATTCGCAGTATTGCGTTTACAGTTTTAGAATTACATCTGTAGGACAAATTAAACCCTACACCGGGCTCGGAAAATACAGTAACTCCCGAAGGATTGCAAGCAGGATTAACACAATTCATAAAATACTGTATACGCTGAGACACGACATTACATCTGTAGAGAAATACTTGTATGAGGAGAACGAGAGTTGTTTAAAAGAAACACTCAATATTATAATCAATTTCACTATTAATCGTTCAACTGAGATTCTGCCATTCTTTGCTTCAATGTCTCTATAATTTTGCCTGTCATTTCTCGTTTGATTTTGGTGTTCTTTTGACATTATGAAATGGCCAGCAAAGAAATTCATATCCCTGTATATATTTATCCTCTGAGTGACGGGTCCGCAATAGCTGTAGTGATGATCATGGTGAATCTCCACTCGGTCACAACTAAACATCAAACGAACCTTTGCAAAAATTGTATATAGACAGACACTACCAAACAACTGGAACCGTACCAAAACAAGAATAGAGAGCAAAAAAATCAAGTGGTTTATAATAGCTCGTCAAAATGTCATTTGATTTTGAAATCAACTCACCATATCACCTTGATGGATATCTGGTTGAAAATTTTCAGTTTAATTTCACTGTTAAAATATCAGCTTGATTCATTGTTGAAACTCCGTTCAACTTTATACTCACTTACTTACTCATGCCTGTTTCTCCCCAATGGAGCATAGGCCGCTCACCAGTTTTCTCCAACCAACTCTGTCCTGGGCTTCCCTCTCCAGTTCTGTCCAATGTTTGTTCATTCCTCTCATATCTTTCTCTATTTGTCGGCGTAACGTGTTCCTTGGCCTTCCTCTTTTCCTTTTGCCTTGAGGGTTCCATGTGAGGGCTTGTCTCGTGACGCAGTTAGGTGCTTTCCGCAATGTGTGTCCTATCCACTTCCACCGCTTCTTCCTGATTTCCTCCTCCACTGGAATCTGACTTGTTTTCTCCCACAGTTCGTTGTTGCTGATGGTGTCTGGCCAACGAATACGAAGTATTTTGCGTAGACAACTGTTAATAAATACTTGTATCTTCTGGATGATGGCTTTGGTAGTTCTCCATGTTTCCGCTCCATACAGTAGAACTGTCTTCACATTTGTATTGAAAATCCTGATTTTGGTTTTGTTTGAAAGTTGTTTGGAGTTCCAGATATTTTTCAACTGTAGAAATGCAGCCCTCGCTTTGCCGACCCGTGCCCTCACATCTGCATTGGATCCACCTTTCTCGTCGATGATGCTGCCAAGATATGTGAAGGTGTTAACGTCCTCCAAGCCATCTCCATCAAGAGTGATTTGGTTGGTTAATGTTGTGTTGCATTGGAGAATTTTACTTTTTCCTTCATGTATGTTGAGACCTACTGCTGCAGAGGCTGCTGCTACACTGGTCGTCTTCTCTTGCATTTGTTGTTGAGTGTGCGATAGAAGAGCCAGGTCATCTGCGAAGTCCAGATCGTCCAGCTGCGTCCTAACTGTCCAGTTGATACCGTGCTTCCCTCCAGATGTCGACGTTTTCATAATCCAGTCGATGACCAGGAGAAAGAGAAAGGGTGAGAGTAAGCAACCTTGCCTGACACCGGTCTTCACCTCAAAAGAGTCTGTTAGCTGTCCTTCGTGTACGATTTCGCAGTTGAATCCATCATAAGAATTCCGTATGATGTTAACTATTTTCTCAGGCACCCCATAGTGTCGAAGAAGCCTCCACAGTGTTTTCCTATCCACGCTATCAAATGCTTTCTCGTAGTCGATGAAGTTGATGTAGAGTGGTGAGTTCCATTCTATTGATTGTTCCACAATGATCCGTAATGTAGCAATTTGGTCAGTACATGATCGATCCTTACGAAATCCGGCCTGTTGATCTCGAAGTTGGGCGTCTACGAAGTCCTTCATTCTGTTTAACAATACCCTGTTGAAGACTTTGCCTGGTATTGAAAGAAGAGTGATGCCTCTGTAGTTCTCACACTTGCTGAGGTCGCCTTTCCTTGGTATTTTGATCAGGTATCCTTCTTTCCAATCTGATGGTACTTGTTCCTCATCCCAAATCTTCGTGAAGAGGATGTGAAATATTTTCGCAGTTGTTTCCACATCTGCTTTCATTGCCTCTGCTGGAATGTTGTCTGGTCCTGCTGCTTTGCCGCTCTTGATTTGTCTGATGGCCATACTGATCTCCTCAATCGTAGGTGCGCCATATTATTGGGAGGTCTTTGGATGCTGCTTCGATGTTGGGTGTTCAGTGGAGCTGGTCGATTCAAGAGTTCTTTAAGTGCTCCACCCACCTATT